GGCACAAACAAGCAAACAAAACTATGAACAATATGAAGAGACAATAAAAAGGAGGAAAGAGGGTCTTTAAGGAGCAAGAGTTTTAACTTGAAGTGGGGGAAAACTCCAAGAGGACTCACAGATACATCAGGAGATAAATGGCATTACAGAGGCCCAGTATGAGGGATGATCATTTTGTCACATATGTAGAACAGAAGGAAAGACAGAAAGAAAAGATTTATCAGTAATCTGCACGAAGGGCAGAAACAGAGAGAACAGTCATATAAGACAAGTTCAAGGGGCAGTCAAATAAGAATAGGGAATTTAACTGCAAAGAGGAGATTTGTTGGAAAGAAATCAAAGGAAGAGACAGTAGTTACCTAAACTACTGTAACTAACCTTAGTTAACTCCTTACTAAATCAACACATGCAGCACCTTAACACTGTCATTGACTACGTCCAGTAAATTAAGAATACTACTACTACTAAAGATTTGTGACGTCACAGGCTTCCTAGCAGCAATCATTAACAACAGAGCAACAGCGGGCACTGACCAGAATCTCAATTTCCTCATTGTAGGATTGGTTTTTTTCTTTTCTTTTTTCTTTTCTTTTTTTTTTTTTAAATCGGAATTGAAGGAAATCATGGCCCAGACAACTGCATCATCACAAGTTGTTTCTTCAGAATAAATCTGGAACTTAAATGACTTTCCCTATGAAATATTTGTTCCCTAGTAGAACTACAAATTGAGGGAATAACACAATTAAAGATCTAATTAAAGAATAATTTGTTGCAATTGGCTTAAATCCTGTTTTCCCCATGAGCTTCACTGCTTGGCGTACTCTGAGAAAACACCAACTACTTGTCTTTAGTTGAACTTTTGGTAGCTCTCATGCCACCTAATTAAAAGGAAAGGGGATGCTGGAATGAAGCAAGGATACCGGGGCTCAACAGCACTAACCCAGCCCTGGCCCCTCGCAGGCAGCAGTTTATCCTGTCACCTCCAATTTGCCAGAAACATGACTGCCCTAATAACAATCAAATGGGGACGGAACAGGGAGACTGCTGTGCATACCTAATTTTCATTAAATTTGCAACTAATGGCTAGTTGACTTGTCTAGAAAATTCAAATCAGAATATAAGGACTGCTCTAAACTCTTCTGTGGCAACCAGCAGGTTCTGACAGATACAGTAAAGAGAAGATTGTCTTCACTCAGTCCCATTTAAAGGGGATTTGAAGGCAATAATATGCCAGGTCTTTTAAGACTAACTGAATGACAGAAGCCTTTTTTTTTTTTACTTGCCATTCTGTTTAAACTCAGGTAGGTTATTAGGTTATGGTCACTTACAAAAATTACATATTTTTTACTTTATAGTTCTAACGTGTAAATTTAAGAGTTGCTTGTATATGTTTTCAATGTCAAGACAGGAAACTATTCTGACGTATAAGCCCTTTGGAACTACAAGCTTTATTCCAAATCCAAAAAATTTTGCACAAAGACATGTAAAGAGAAAAAACAGTGAACTTCCCTTCTAAATCAAAAGCACACTTAGCAATAGTAGTACACAGAGAAGACTTTAAATCAAATCACAACCCTTGACGTCCACACAGTCTTAAGCATATTTGTTTGCTCTTTCTAAAAGACATATTTTCATTCTCTTTACAGTAGGTAAGAATATCTACTTACCTGCTACAGCACTCCAAAAAAAGAAGAAATTCTGTTCAAAATTTTCCCTTAGAACACAGTCATAGCAAACTATTGCCTCCAACACTTATTCTTTCCATCAAGACAATTTATCTTTTTCTTAAGATTGCTACTTTCATTTAATAGTCTTAACTTTTTCTTCTTGTACTGTTTTTTAACTTTAAAGGAGAACACAATGTACTCATAAACGAGTTTACTTCAGAGTCCCTTTTTACTATTGGATATACAGCAAAGTCCTTCATGATAAATCCCCTCAGGAAGTGATTTAGTAGTCTTTAACAAAAAGTAGTATGGATTTAACAATATAAATGCAAGAAACAGACCATACTACTCATCTTTTCCAGATTATCTGTGGAAATAGCCCATTTATAGCACCTTTTCCTTTTGCAAATTCAAAATGTACTAGTAATAAGCTTTTACTGATAAACATCCCCAAGTCCTTAAAATAGCAGGGTTTTTAAGAGAATTTCTTCCCCTCTAATTTCTTTTATATTTGATAATATTTGCAGTCCATATTTAAGACTGATCAAGCAAGATACAATAAAATCCAACTTCAGTAGGTAGAAAGGATTACCGCTTCAGTAGGTAGAGAGGATTACCATAGTCTTCTGCTTTGCCTACCACCACTCCAAACATATCCACCCCTTTTCAACTTTCTTTATCCACTAACATCTTCTACACAAAATGCAAATGCTTCATTCCTCCCCTTTTTCTTACCTCTGTAATCTCTCTTCACCTTCCCTTTGCAGTCGGACATTTGTTGCCCACCTAACACTCTTCCCTTACTAATTTCACTTTTGTCTTATTCCAAATTCACTCCGTGGACTGCCACCTGACTTGGTTCACTTCTTCCCCCTCTCTTTCGAAGCATGTTTGGATACTGAGCAGCATCTACCCTGTTTCATATCTGCCACGATCGGAAAAACCGAAAGCCGGATGTTAGGCAGATACAAACAAGCCTGCTTCTAGCGCTGCTTGGGGAGAATCTCCTGCTTTGTATGCATGCTTCTGACAGAAGAAAAAAGTCCTGCTGAGTTCACAGTTCAAGAGCTTATAGTTTACACTTTCTCTCATGGCTTGTAGTATCCTCCCTCTCTGAGAACAAGGCTGTCAAGTCTACTATCAAAATATCTGTAGGAAAATGAGAAAGTAGTAGGGTGGTAGGTTACACCTAAAACATAAGTCATCTGCACTTCAACAGAAGCAAGACTGGGGATTCCTTCAAACTGGACTCAAAGCAGTAATCAAAATAACAGTCTCATCAACTGTTCTCTTTCCTTAGCCTCTCTTGTCCAAAGCGTACCTTGGACAGCTTCTTGAAGCATATCTAATCGCAAGTTTTACTGAAACTTTTAAAACAACACATAGATTAACATCCCTGTGATTATGCAAGCGTACTGTGTGACTATGTATATTTATCTATAAAACGAGGTTATAAAAAGAGCCCATTTTTGCAAATGCTCATAATTATAATATCTCATAGAACTCCCTGAATTTTGCATCAGCAAATCTTTGCCTTTTGGCTCATGTAAGGAGCTAGGTAGAGGATCAAAAGAATTCAGGTTTCAACCACAGCAATTAATGGCCTAGCTGTTTGCCTAATTTAACGATCTGCTTAATTTTCTGAAATGTCTCTATGGCCATATAAGTTTTTTTGTGTAAAAATTCTGTTGAGTACCAGATTCAAAGCTTAGCAGCAGTACACAGTTGCAGTAACTGAAAGTGAGTAATAACGTTTAGTTTTTAAAACACAGTAACTCCTGAAACGCACATGAAACAGAGCTGAATAAAAGCACTTTTTTCACCTGCCTGGACATCAGATTTTCCTTAAAGGTTTTGTCAAGAAATTTAGTCCAAAATACGTTGAGCAGGACGGACACAGCATTCAGACACAAGGGAGGAAAGTTTAGAATTTTAGTCACAATGAATTAGAAATGCTCTTTGCTCTTGGTTCACAGAATACAAGTGATATTAAATGATACGTCCATGCTCATTTTTAATAAGAAATGCCAGAGACATTCAAGCTTAGCATTCCATAAAAGTGATGAGATAAAGATAAGGAAACACAGAATGAGTTTTTCTTAATGGTCAGGACACAATCAAACAAAACCAATACTTAGCATTATAGGAAGGGGGAAAAAATTCCCTCTCTATTCCTAGTACACAATACTAGATATAGAAAGTCTCCGATATTATAAATTACTCATAAGGCTTTCTTAAGACAACAGAAAAACAATGCAAGAAGATCAACCTTAAAGAAAAAAAAAAGACAGATAGCAGAAGAAATAAGACAGAACAGGGAAAACAAACAAGGAAAGTACGAGCGGGTATAGCACAAGGAGAGACAGTGGATGCCAGAGTACACAACCAGTAACATTTTAAAAACAGCTTTGCTTTTTTCCTTTCAATCGCAGTCAAATCTTAATTGCTTCACATGAGCTAGAGATGTCACATTTCATTTACAAAAATCTTTGTTATTACTTTTTTTTTTCTTTTTAATTCTCTGATGATGGTGAAGGAACTGTATAACTTACATGATCATTTTCTATTTCTTATTCTTTCTGACAGACACATTCCCAAGACCACTGCAGAACATATTCCTAAAATTTCAACTTTTCTTGCCAGTGGAAGATGGCCAGCTGGTCCCAAAAGATGTCAAACAACATTGCAGTTGGTGAACTGAGTGAGTTAACCTTTCTTTGCTCTGCTCTAGCTCAGGAAGCAGCAAGAACATGTCATACACATACCCACAAAGCAAAGACTTGCAAATACACAATGAACAAACTTCACCTTCTGTTAAGTAACAGAAAGGAAAGGGAAAAGAACCTCTGTAATAATCTTTGCAGTATCTCAGCCCTCCTTGTCTATTCTTACGCAACAGAGTAGTTAAACAGACACCATGTAATATAATGAATTCTTATCTCAACAAACAATAAATTACTTGTAGTTAGGCCAAATCAGCTGAGCGAAGACAAAGAAAACAGATCAAAGTGTAAGAGCAAATTTATATTCCAAATACAGATTGAAATGCTAAGTATTATACCTTTGTGCAACAAAGGATAGATGGGGCAGGTGGGGAGAAGCGCATTAGAACAGCGCACAGGCTGTTACTCCATATGTGTTTGCAGGACTATAATAAATGTTTTTAATCTACGAAACATCTGGGACTAAAAATCCAATTTGTACTATTTCTTTAAGACAGAATAGTTTTAAAGTGCATAGTAGGGCTTCTACAATAAAAATCTGCACAAAACTAACAGCACAGGTCTATCCTTTAGGCTTTTTTCAAGGAGTATAAAATATGCAGAATCCTACCAGGCCATATTGCCATGGGCTGTGTTGTCAAGGTGACAGAGTAGCTCCAGGGTTTGAGTGTTGCTTGATGAATCATCAGGGGATTCATGACTGCCTGATTCCAATTCCTTCGGCATCCTCCAAACAGCAGCACATGTCACGACTTTACTGTCTGAAGCTAAGCAACAGAGAATAATGCCAACAGATCATTGTATGGGAGACGTATTTTGTATACAGTGCATCAACATTTACACAAATCTATAAGCAATGCACATCTGCTGTTTAAAATATTTAAAAATATTATAGTAAGCTACATTCAAAGACTGCAGAATATAGATACAGAAATAGACCTCCAGTTAGCTGACAAGTTGATGCAGAACTCAAAATTGGTATGCGTTTAACCCACTTCTCCTTTTTTTTTTTTTTTTAAGGTAAAATTCAGTTCTCATGAAAACATAACACTTCTGAAAGTAAGTTTTCCAAGCTTCATTCCCCATATTGAGGTTAATGAGAATGACCCACTAAGTATATTGCTTGAGCCCTTAATAATAATTAATAAGATGCGGTTTTAACGCTTTCCTTTTAAGGGCTATCTTCAATTGAATCTATAGCACTATGTTGTATCCTTCACTACCCAAGCCTGCTTATTACAAAACTTAGTTTTCCACAAACATACACTCCTCTGTAATTCTAGTGGATAAAAACAGCTTCCAAAAGACAAACTGAACTTACACATATATAGCAAAATATTACAATATATATGATGACAAGGCAACTGTAACATGAAGGAAAAAAACATCATATGGTCTGTGCCCATATGGTATTGCCCCTCACCCCATATAGCTATTTGCAGCAGTGCAGAATGGGTGGAGATCAGAGTAACACCACCTGTGTTCAGATTGCTAGAGTCTCTGCTCCAGGGTTCACAGAGGAAGAACAGGCCAGTATTATCTAGTACAGCAGGAACAACCAGCCAGCTACGGTGATGTTAAGCAAAAGCAAGGCCGGGGAACATCCACCTGCTAAAGAAGGGCCAGGGGAAAAATCGAAAGGATAAGTAGCAACAAATGACACGTGTTCTTGGGTGAGGTCATTTCATAGGCCTTTTTCTCACCGTTTTGTCTTCAGGTACATTTAGCTGATTTTCATCTAGAGTGCCTGATTAAAGAGCCACAAGCAGACGTGACTGACTCAGACTATTGAAAGTAAAACAGGAACAATTGTAATGAAAGTGTTTTCAAAAGGAAGGGCAGTAAATCAGAAAAGGCCTTCTTCAGAAAAGGCTGAAATGTCATTAACATAGAAAAACATCTCTATTACAAAGGGGGCCAATCTAGACATAATACATGCAAAACAGGCACCTAAACAACAGATAAGAGAAGAAAAAGGCATTGATACATGGTAAATAAAAACAAAATTGAAGAATTCAGACACATTTAAAAAGCAGCCATATGAAATATCAACTGTAGGTAGTTAGGTCAAGTCAGTCGGAGAAAATGACCACTTCTATGAAAAGAAAAGAAGGATTAGAGAAAGACTTTTAATTTAAGGTACAGAGTTCAAATTACATGAGCACTGGGGATCGCACAGAATGTACTAAATGTGAAATACGATTCATGTATATATGTGCGTATGTATATATAAATATATATATATAAAACCATGTTATAGAACAGTCTGGAATTTGTATGTAAGTTATATACCATACCATGAGACCATACATCTAAAGATGTAAAGATACTGGATAAGCCCTTATTTTTTAACACTTCATTGAGCTTTTACTAATTGTAGCACACGCTAACTAATCAGCTGTTTTCAAGTCATTTGAGGTAATGCCTTCACTCTGAATCAATGTGCCGCTGTAGGAAGGAGAGGAAGCCGTAGCAGATGGCTACTTTTTTAAAGCAAGGGGCAAATAAACCCACAATATGCACTGTACACTATACAAGTAACAAATAACCTAAGCTGAAATTGCGATACAGTTTGAGAAGATAAGATGTACCAAATATTTTGCCGAATTAGTCACTATGAGATTGACTGTAAAGAACACTCTAAAGAAATATTTAGCAGATCTTAATTACTGAAAGTCTGTACCATGCATATCCAATATCATGACTCCTTGAAATATCATTTTAATTTCTTTAAACCAATTTCACATTGGAACATTTTGAAATCCTGATGGTTTGGTCCCATGAAAAACTTAAAGGGAAAGAAAGAAGAATCAGAATTTCTTGCACAATCAGATTTCCAGATTACAAACCCTAAAACAACTAAACAAGCAGTGATCTCAAGACTGCGTGGGACTGGAGGAGAAGAAAAAAAAAAAAGAAAAACTGAAATTCCCTTGGAAGTTCATGTAACCCAGGCTCCTATGCAACTCTGGTGCTTTGAAATAAGAGTGCTTCAATTTCTAATGTGTGCAGTAATTCTACAAAGATTTTATATTTGATTTCAAATAATAATTACAGATGCTGCTAATGAGCAAGCTGGAAATGTACCTTGGTATTATAGGCAGAGTAGATTTGCTCGAGTAGCGAGAACAAATTTATCAGACTGCCCCATCTTGCAGACCTAGCTACGCCGTTCCTTGGAGCCCAGCACAGCGTTCTCTCTGAAGAGCTGTTTAGCTGCTCTAATGATATGATGCGTCTCAGATGCCATTTGCTCTTCCAAAATGCAAGACAAGCTTATCTTTTTGAAATATAATTTGACCATAATAGATTTCTATATTAATGGCTGCTATTTTGTAGTACTTACTTTAGGTAGCTTTTTCTTTTTTTTAAGCTATTCAATTTTTATCTTAAAGAATTGCTCTAAGCTTTCTATATTAGTGCATATCTTTAAAATACAATTTAAAAATGAAGGTTATCAAACTTACTAGGGATCTTAATAACTCAGAAGTTAGTCATTCCCTTTCACAGTGGTTGAAGTAGCTCAGTTACTTCAGCTTTTTCTGTCCTTGTTTACAAAAACAGAAATAAAAATATCTATGTTTTAATCAACATTGAAAATAGCTTAGCGAGGTAGTTATCACTTATTTTCTCTATAAATGCAGAAGCTTTAACCTCCTCCTAACAACTATATTCCTCACATTTCAGTATTTACTAAAAGTCTCTTCTTGAATTAAGTAGTACTTGCACAAAATCCTATTACCTCCACATATTTTATAACATAGGTGTTCCTATAAAAAGCAAATAATAGTAAAAAAGATCAGAAGTAGAGGTTGGCTCAGAATTTCACATGCAAGATTCTATGAAATTACATCTCTGTTTCACTTCATCTGGGATTGGCGGAGGAGGATAAAATTTGTCGTGCATCAGGAAGGGCCATGCTTCCTCCAACACAGACAGACAGCATGCACAGCATGCCCAAAACTGCCCAACCCTGTCATCATAGACTTTGTTCTCCGATTTTAACTGGATTTGAAGATGCTCATGGAAGATTACAGGCTATTTTCCAGCTATGAAATGATCAATTACCATCAATAACTGTATGTGCACTACAAATCTTCAGATTCTATTTTTAAACTTTGGAGGAACTCTGCAATTAGACATGTGGCTAGATCTGTAGTGTAAAAACTTAATTCAGAGCACTGTTAATTTCTCCTTACACTTTTTATGCACTTATCTACAGTTCCAACACTTGATTAATCCTCAGATGTATGAAACTAAAATGGAATTGCCACAGCCTCCTGTGGGAGAAATTTTAGATATGCCCGATCTAATCCAAGGCTTGATTTCCCTTTAAATAAAGCACTTTTAGAAAAAGGTATCTTTTGCACTCTGGTAGAAGAGAAGGGAAATTCTAGGGCTGAGTGAAAGCGTCACTCCATTATGACAGACGGAGTTCTTTGGTCGGTCCTGATTCTTTTTAGCAACAAACCTACAGGAACTCAGACACAAAATAATTCTCCCTACATAGAAATCCAGGTCCCACAACAAGCTTCTCATGGCTGTATAACGAAAATCACTAGGAGTACACAGTATTTGCAGAATTACTCATACAGCCCTATTTCTTAAATGATCATATTAAAATGTACATACTCAGTATTACTAAAAAGTTTCATTATAGCCACTATAGTGTCACTGCTTGTCCAAAAAAACTTCATGCAAATAGAAACCCTAGCTTTTCCCTTCTTTTGCTAAATCTTCATTTCACCCTACTACATACATACATAAAGACAATGTTTTCACCTACTACCTCTTGTATCATTTCTCAGACACAATGTAAAACTAAGCACATTTCTATAAATGTGCACTTTCAGCACTACTTTCCCTCAGAAGATAAAAGACAAATATGAATGCAACATTTAAATGACAATGCCAGTTATTCTGTAAAACAAAGAATATAAGAAAGCAAAACACCTGGAAGTTAGCTTCTAGGTCTTCTTTAAAGTTCTTTAAATTGTTGGAAACTGCTTTTCCAACTTTACCTCATTTGGACTGGAATATTTTTTTTATTATTATTATTTATGTCGCTGTACCAGTGCAAACAAGAATACATAAAGCTAAGCTAGTTTATGACTTTTTCTGTTGTGATGTTATACTTGAGCATACTAAGAAAAACTAACGACTATGTGGATCTATCTTGTGGATCTAAAAGTTACGCTTTCATGGACTATAACTGAAAGGTTTGCAGAAGGCAATTTCACTGTATCCTTAAAGCATTATCCACAAAAACGGTCCAGGAATGAGGCAATGACATGTTAAACCTTTATCACGTTTATGCCTCATTGCTCAAGAAAAAGCCCTTGTCTCATTCTCTGTACATCTTCAATATAACTTCCGCTAGTTAAGGCTGGACTTAGACATACTACTCTGACTGCTTACCCGCTGGTAAGCATTAGTTTCCCCAGCCTTATCAATACTACCTCCTGGGCAGAGCTTACCATAGTCTCTGATCTGCCAGTATAATCTTACACATAGCTTCTTCTACCCAGTTCCACTGAAATGATCCAGACTTAAAAATAAACAAACAAACAAAATCAAGGAACAAAAAAAGAATCCCACGTTTTGACAAAACTGAGTTAGAAGGTGACTAAACATGCAGTTGCACTGGCAGCTCTGAGCCTGCAGTAACCAACCGCAGGAAACAATCTTCAGCGAGTTCATCCAAAGCCTAAGTGAGGTAACCACGGCTAAAGAGCACAGGCCTTCTTCAGTTGCCTACTTTGCAAGT